GCGCGGCCCCGGGGGGCACGCGCAGGTACCCGGGGCGCGCGGGCACGGGCCGCGGACCTAGTCAGTGGGCTGGAATGAAGATCTGGGCAGAGGGCGCGGGGTCGGGGCGTGGACACCTGGGGTGGGGGTCAGGAGAGATTAAGGGGAGCAGGACACGGGACATCTCTATCCCCTACGTCCCCCAGCCTCCCTCTCCCCAGGGCAGGGCACGCTGCCAGCCCCCCACCCCACCCCTTCTTTCTCCCCAGGACAGTCCGAGTCTACAAGGGCAACAAGAGCTTCGGCTTCACGCTGCGCGGTCACGGGCCTGTCTGGATCGAGTCTGTCCTGCCTGGTGAGGGGTGGGCGGGTTGTCCAGGATGGGGTGAAGGACCCTCTTAGGCCCATACTAAGTAGCCCGTCTCCCCCCACCCCCGGCTCTGCCCCCAGGTTCTAACTTCATGTAGTCTGTGTCCTCTAAGTATCCCAGAGGGGACATCCAAGTTGGGGCAAACCCCCTCCAAGTTCAGGGTCACCTTTGAGCCAAGAGAGCCAAGTTCTCCATCCAGACCTTTCCTATGTCCCCAGGGAGGGCTGAGGGCACTGCCCCAGACACTGGGGGAGCCAGGACACACCTGACACCCACCCAGGCTGCACCCAATCAACCTGCCCTGTGTGGGGTGCCCACTGTGAACTTGGCACTTGCTGGGCAGGCCAGACTCAGAGAGGCATCAGGCCCTCAGGGCCTCTGCCCACTACCCAGTCCCCTACCCCCAATCTGGACTCTCCTCCTGCCCCCACCCAGCCTGCCTCTTTTTGCTCCTGGAATGGTGACATCTTGAAGAAAGCAGAGCCTTCTCCGTGCAGGAATTCTTTCTTCCTGCCTCTCCAGGGTGCGTGGGGGGGAGTGTGGAGAGAAACTCATTTCTTCCTGTGGCAGCACATTCCACTGTGGAAGGTCTCTGTGGGGCAGAAATGTCTCCTGGTGCTAAACTGAACTCTCCCTCCCGGTAACCACCGGGTCACCAGGGTCACCCGCTCTCTCTGTCCTGCACCCATACCCTCCCAGCACCTGTGGATGATGCTCCTGGTGACACATCCCCATTGCTGAGTCCTTTCTGCCCTACCTCATCTCACACCTCCAGTGCAGGCATTTGTGGGTTGGACATCTGATCCCCAGGAAAGTGCCTTAGTGCCTTTGCATCATTGTTCCAGCCATCAGATCATTTTAAGACCGAATCCTGATGACTGATATGTTGTAGTTCTCCTCGGATTTGTGCATTACTAAGTTGTTGACACAGTGTTGTAGGGGAAAGGCCCACGTTGGTCCTCTAGAAAGGAGTCATCTCTCCTCTTTGTCTCTTCCAACTGTGCCACCACGAGCACCACCAGTTCCCACCACCCCCATGTGGGGTGCAGCCAGGGATACTTTGCCTGGGGCCATGTTTAAGATCCAGGGGTGCTATTCTCCCCAACCTAGCCTCCAGGCTGGTAACCCTATGCCTTCCTCGTCATGGGAAGCCAAACGGATGCTTCAGTGAGAGCTTTTACAGATGGGGAGACTGAGGCCTTTAGAGGCTCTGGCAAAGCAAGGACCAGAACCTGGGATTTCCTGACTCCTGATCCAGTGATCTTGAATCCCCAGCTACAAACCCTCTGGCCCTTCCACCCCAGGCTGGCCCAAGCTTCCAGACAGGCCAGGTTGGATTCATCACCACCATCACCTCTCCCCTCCCCGCCTCTTCAGTCTGGGGGTAGGGAGGAAGGACTCCCCTTCCCCAGCAGGTCTTCCCTGAGCATCTCTCTTCTTCCCCTGACAGTACCCACAGCCTGAGAGAATGCCTCACAATCTGAGAGTACATTTTCTTTAGGCATTTGTCACTTACCCCACTTGTTGCCCAATCAAATTTAGAGGAACAGCTGACAAAAGAGGCAGAAATCCACAAGAGCATCCACAGGAGCAAACTACCAGCCCCATCCCTAGGTGTTAGGTACTGGGTTAGGTCTGACCTTCAGCGCCACCAGGGCAGAGAATCAGCTGCTCCTTTGTGTTTAAAACGCAGGTTTTACCATTATTATTCGGGTATGGTGAGGCCAACAGATCAGGAGATGATGGCCATTGGAAAAAGAGTTTGTCCCTCACAGTACCCAAGAGGAGGGGGCATGGCCACACCCTGCACGGCCACACGGGGGAAGGATCGGGCAAGGCAGGCTAAGCAGGTACAGGATTAGTTGCAGCAGGCTCTGAGGCATAGGAGCTGTCCCCAGTCAGTCTGCAGGTACCTGGCCCTGGGAGCTTAGGGCAGGGCGCAGTCGTGGCCCAGGGTGTGAGAGCTCCATAGGGAAGGGCGTTGGGTGTGGGCTCTGGACTGGTTGGTTTGCATGCAAGAGGCACTCTTCAGAGCCAGTTACTTACCACGTAGGGCTTGGCTAGCCACCGAAGGGCAGTGTTTCCAGGGTCAGCAATGGCCCCAAGATGCCAAAGCCTCAGGAAGTACAGAAACAAACAAGCGTGATTAATACACCATGTTTCCCAGCCTGGGGGAGGAAGCTCCCTCCCTGTAGACAGGTGCATTTTCTCCTAATGACAAAGGCACAGAGGAATCTAGGATGTGAACCGTTATGGGTGGGGCAGAGAACAGTATGGAGCGGGCTTCTCAGCAGGTGCACAGATGCTACAGAAAAATGGCTCCCAAGACCTTCTTTATTTTTCCCCCTTCTCCAACAGCTCAGGGCTGACCAGCGGTCCACACTGAGCCCCAAACCCTCCCACCCCCACCCAGGGGCTCACTCCCTGCTCAGAGCAGCTGAGAGCAGAGGGGTGCTGGGTCTAATGTGGGATCTGCTGGCCTGAATTTGGCTCTCCTTGGCAACTCATCCCATTTGGCACCTGTAAAATGGGTTCACAGAGTGCAGCCCTGCCCAGCTGACCAGCACATGCTCTCTTCTGGCTTCTAGGGAGCCCGGCTGACAATGCGTCCCTCAAGTCAGGCGACCGGATCCTCTTCCTCAATGGACTGGACATGAGGTCAGAGGCTACTGGGGACGTCAAAGCTTGGTGACAAACCATCCTCTGAGACTCCTGGCTCTTGGGACACCTAAGCCATGGTCCCGATCTCCTATGACCAGTTTGTCCCCAGGATCTGCCCCTCTTCCTGTGGGATCTCTTGAATCTGTACCCTCAGACTAGACAGGATGTCAGTTTAGCCTTCCAACTAGAAAATACCCCAGCTCCATGCAAGGGACACAGAGAGTTTTTGTTGTTGCTGTTTCATTTTTGTTTTTATTTTTTTATTTTATTTTTTTAAAGGACTCTTTTTTTAAAAAGATTTTATTTATTTATTTGACAGAGGGAGAGAGATAGCGAGAGCAAGAACACAAGCAGGGGGAGTGGGAGAGGGAGAAACAGGCTTCCTGCCGAGCAGGGAACTCGATGCGGGGCTCAGTCCCAAGACCCTGGGATCATGACCTGAGCCACCCAGGTGTCCCTGTTTTTGTTTTTAAAGATTTTATTTTTAAGTAATCTCTACACCCAACGTGGGGCTTGAACTTACAACCCCAAGATCAAGAGTCACATGCTCTACCGGCTGAGCCAACCAGGTTCCCAGGCAACACAGAATTAAATGGACCATGAGTGTCTTGCCCTTGAGGGGGAGCCCTGCCTAGGGATGACATGGGCACAACCCCTCTGCACCCAGAAGTGTCCAGCTTGTCCTGGGCCTGGAGCTTCTCCTGCAGAGAAGATAAATGAGCAGGAGAGGCAGGGCCCTGGCTGCTGTGCACTGCTGAGCAGTCTCTACAGACAGGACAGGGAGATCTGGTGGGTGGCCGTGGACATCGCTCATCCTGGTCAGGCCCTCCTGGGCCATCTCTTCTTGGCAGGAACTGCTCCCATGACAAGGTGGTATCCATGCTTCAAGGCAGTGGCGCGATGCCCACACTGGTGGTGGAGGAGGGGCTCGTCCCATTCGCCAGCGGTGAGACGCCCATGGCCACTTGGCTTTGTGGCCCACGGAGACCCTGCCAGGGCCTCCACATGTGGTATTTACAAGTCTGCAGAGGACTCTGCTTTTCCCCCAACCCTGCAGCTTCCCTCCCCAGGTGGTGCTGTAGATTCTAGTGGGGCAGCCTCAGGGCCCTGCCTGGGGCTGTCCCATCCCCGTCCCCAGCTCTGGGCAGTAGGTGTGCCTCCCAATGCCCAGCACTCGCCCCAGCTGCCAGAGAAACCGCATCTGACCCGGGATGCTGGGTCAGATGTGTCTCTCCTGCCTGTGGCCCCGACAGACTCCGATTCCTTGGATTCCCCCAACCCGTCCTCGGCGCTCACCTCCCTGCAGTGGGTGGCAGAGATCCTGCCCTCCAGCATCCGGGTGCAGGGGAGGACTTTCAGCCAGCAGCTGGAGCACCTACTCACGCCTCCCGAGCGCTATGGGGTCTGCCGGGCCCTTGAGAGCTTCTTCCAGCACAGGTGGCTGGGCCAGAGCGGTGGTGGGAGCTGCCCTGGGTGGGCCCCAAATCCTGCTCAGACTCACCATTCGGGTCTCCCTGCCTGTGCCTCCTGAGCCCCCTGCTCCTGGGAGAGACTCAAAGAAAGCAGCCGCTGGTACCAGGGGCCCCCGGGTGGTGGGCAATCAAGGTGCCCTACCACAAACCCTGACTCTGAAACCTCCTAGCCACGTGACCTAGCCTCTGTCAAGTGAAGCAGTGACCTCTGCAAAGTTGTTTGTGGGAAGGTCACAGGACTACTAGCCTGTGGGTATTTGCCACCAGCCACTGAGCCTGTTGGGGTTGGTTTGGTGTCTTCCTTTTTGTACCTGAGTAGCAGCAGCCTGCGTCTGTCACACTCCTCGGTCCGTAGGGTCATTGTCATGGTCTGTGCAAACCCCTCACCCGTTCACGCCCTTTTCCTTTTTTGTTTAAACAGCTTTATTGAGGTAAAATTCACACACCCTATGTACAGTGCACTGGATTTTAATTGACAAATCTGTGCACCCATCACCACACTCAGTTTTTGAACATTTTCACTCAAAAAGAAACCCTGCAGCTCTTCACTATCACCCCCTCCTCTCCTGCCCCTTCCTCCCCTGCACAGGCCAGGTTGCCGCAGGAGCCTCTCCACCCTGCTGTCCCTGAAGGTGCTGCTCCACGGGCCCCCCCCAACAACAACCACGAATCTACTCTAGTGTCTCTGTGGCTTTCCCTATTCTGGGCTTTCATGTGAATAGGATCCTATAGTATGTGGGCTTTGATGTCTGGCTTCTTTCACTCAACATCATGTTTTCAGTGTTCATCCAAGTGATAGCATCTACTTCTTCCCTTTTTCATGGCCAAATAACATTCCATTGCGTGGATAGACCACATGTTGTCTGTCCATTCATCCGTGATGGACACTTGGCTTGTCTCCACCTTTCCTTCCCTTTTAGCTCCACTCCCTCTTCTGTGTCCCTCCCCTTCCCAAGGTCACCAGTCCGATGAGTTTAACAGGGCTCCTTTTGTCTGATGTGTTCTTGAAGTGTGGGCATTGCTGTTTTGTAGGATGTGGGGGGTTTTTTTGGTTTTTTTTAAGTTTCATTTATTTAAGTAATCTCCACACCCAATGTGGGGCTCAAACTCATGACCCTGAGATCAAGAGTCAAATGCTTTTCCAACGGGGCCAACCAGGTGCCTCCCATGGGATGTATTTTTGGTCTACATTAGAATTGTGGCTATCCTGTGCGCATTCTGTGACTTTTTTTCCCACCAAACCCTATGTGTTTAGATCTGTCCATGTTGCTCGTGTACATGTAATACATTGTTTACAACTACAGCCAAATTCCTGTGGATCAAGGGTCCAGGTCTGATCTATTTACCTGCCAGTGACAGACACAGGCTTGTCACCACTCTCTTCCATCTTGACAGCAGTGATGAACATCATTGTGCACATTTCCCCGTGGTGCTGTGTACAATTCATTTGGAATTCATATCTAAGAGCTGCATTGCTGGATATTAAGGTATTTGTTTATTTGACTAGGTCATCCAAAATTGCTTCCCAGAGCACTGCTGTCTCTCACCTGCAGTGCGCCTGGGCCCCCCATCCCCACGTCCTTACCAACACTGGGCACCATCCAGCTTTCTACTCATGCTAGTCTTTTAGGCATAAAGTGACATCTTATTTTATTTGGGGTTTTGAAATGACTATTTTAAACATCTTTGAATATCCTTGTCAGTCTTTTCTGTTTCTTTATCTCTAGATTACCTGTTTAGACCCTTTGCCCATTTTCATTTTACTGGGCTTTTTGTTCCTGTTGATTTGCAGGAGTTCCTTGTATATTTTAGATACTGAGTCCTTGTTGATTTTAGACATTGCAAACATCTTCTCCCATTTGTTACTTGTTACTACTTCTGTTATATATAATATCATTGTGTCCAAGTTGGGCTTCTTTGAACAGATATGCTTGCTTTTATAAAATCAAATTCAATACGTTTTGGGCCTTATGGCTTTGGCTTTTGAAATTTTAAGAACTCCTTCCCTACCCCTAGGCCAAAAAATATTCTCCTACACTGTCTTCTATTAATTTTACCATTGTATTTTTCATACTTTGTTTTTTATCCACCTAGAGTTCATCCTTATGTGTGGTGTTAGTTTTATTTTCTCATATAATGCAAGGATCAGCAAACTACTTCTACAAAGGGCCACATAGTAAATATTTTAGGCTTTGTGGGCCATATGGTCTCCATAGAAACTATTCAACCCTGCCGTTGTAGCTCGAAAACAGCCATAGACAATATGTAAACACCCAGTCATGGCTGTGTTCCAATAAAACTTTTTTTTACAAAACAGAAGGTGGGACAGATTTTGGGCCGCGGGCCATCATTTGCCAATCTCTGCTATAGTGAGTCGGTTTACCCAATACACTCTGTGTGTTTTCATCATATGGCGACTCTGTGAGGTAGATGCTATTTTTATCCACATTTTACAGAAGAGGAAACTGAGGCACAGGGGAATTAAGTAACTTGAGAAAGGTCACTTGGCTGGTAAGTGGCAGAGCCAGGATTTGAATCGGGGGGAGGGGAGCCCATCGCCAGAGCCTGCCTTCCTACCTTCCCCACTTTTCTGTCTTGGCAGGGGTGGGTTCTGTGGCCTGGAAGAGCCCCCTTGTCCATCTCTCCCTCCCCACCATGGTGAGCCCCTGAGTCATGAACCCCTTGCTCCTGCACCCTCCCCCAGGAACATTGACACCCTCATCGTGGACGTCTACCCGGTGCTGGACACACCTGCCAAACAAGTTCTTTGGCAGTTCATCTACCAGCTGCTGACTTACGAGGAGCAGGAGCTCTGCCAGGAGAAAATTGCATGTTTCCTGGGCTACACGGCCATGACAGGTAAGCAGCCTCTCCCCCTGCCCAGCACACCCGGTGAAGAGCCAGACCCCTGTCCTCAGATGACAGCCAACCTGGGCCTCTCCCACAGACAGATGCGCCCCCGTAGCCTGCAGACACATGCCGGGCGCACCCAGGCTGGTCGCACACTTGGCCCCACAGATGTGCCTTCCCTGCTCGATGCTTAAGTAGCATCTGCCACATTACCTTAGACTTTAGACACCCCACCTATCCGCCCGGAATCCCTGGCTTTGCACCCACAAAACGGGAGTGGTCTCAATGGCTGTGCACTGCACGCCAAGAGATGTGTCGCAGATCAAGAAATTCACGTGGTTGCCGTCCATAGAGCTGGAGAGCGAGGACACAGCCAGGTCGGGCCTGGCTGCTGGGCCTTGAGGCACACAGACACCCACTAGGGCCTGCCGGGCCATGTGCGGCCTCAGCCTCCCACTGCTGCCCACCTCTTAGAGCGGGCCCCACGTGCCCAGAAAACCATGCACTTCGCCATTTAGGCCACAGGAATCGGAAGTGGGCCAGACACTGTGCACTTGTTCTAGGCCCTCTGCACCTGCTGCGTCGCAGCCTACACATCTCCCGTGAGCTGGCCCTCGGCTGCCCACCATCCCTCGTCCTGGGGACCCACAGTGTGCTGGGGGAAGCTCAAAGGTTTTAGCAAGAGGCTCAGAGTATAGGCTGGCCAGCGGATGTTCCATACGTCTGCCTAGACCCAGAATCTTCCACCTCAGGCCACATGGCAAGCAGGGCCTGGGGTCACAGATTGGTGCAAACAGTGGTTGCCTTCACCCCTCCTGTGTTTGGAGGCCCTTTGTCTGGCTGAGAGGACAAGGGGCCCATCTCCTGTTCATGTCACACTGCAGAGCCGGAGCCCGAGCTGGACCTGGAGCCGGAGCCCGAGCCCGAGCCCGAACCAGTGCCCGAGCTGCAGCAGCGAAGCTCCCTGAGAGCCTCGTCCATGTGCCGCCGCAGCCTCCGGTCCCAGGGCCTGGAGGCCAGCCTCAGTTGCGGTGAGGCTCTGGCCTGAAAGGCAGGACAGTGTGTGAGGGTGCCACCAGGGCTCGGTCTTCCCGCCTGCAGAATGGGGTTGGTGGGATGAGAAATGCCCAAGAACAGGTTGGGCAGGGCTGAGTGATGGCCCTCCTGGGGCTACGGGGCTTGCTGGTTCTTTCTTGATGGCTGCCCATGGGGCCTGGGCTGGAACCCAAGCCTTAGAGCTCAGAGGGGTTACTAGATCTCCCCATGGTGGACTCCACCCTCCCCGATTCCCCTGGCAGGTCCCGGCGACTGCCCCGAGATGCCTCTTCCTCTAATCCCAGGCGAGCGCCAGGCAGGCGACGGCACGTCCCTCCCCGAGACCCCCAATCCTAAGATGGTGAGACCCCATTGTCTACCCTCCTGGTGGTTCATGTGACTCCTGGGAATAGGTGTCCCATGGGGCTGGGGCAGATGCCTGCCTCCCAGATCACCCAGGCCTGGCCTCTGAGGCCATGTGAGGGCCTCATGGAGGAGGTAACAGTGGGCTGGACTCACCCTGGCCTCCTCTCCCTGAAGATGTCAGCCGTCTATGCGGAGCTCGAGTCCAGACTGAACAGCAGCTTCAAAGGGAAGGTGGGGACCACGTCCAGATCCCGTGCCTCCCCACCAGGGCCCAGCCCAGCAGGCCCAGCAGGTAGGGGCTCAGCCAGCCCTGGTTCCTGGGAGTAGCACTGGCCTCTGGCCTCTGGGCTATCTGTCTGGGTGTTGCCCCCATCTGGGGCACATCCTTGGAGCCTCCCCTTTGCTCCGTGACCACATGATTGAGTTGTGGGGAACCTCAGCAGCCTGCATGGCAAAGGTCCATAGAGGTCAGAGTTGTCACAGGCCTTCGCATGCCCCCCTCTGATCCTTACCCCTACTGCAGATTTAGAAAAGCAGAGGTCCTCCCCCAAAGGAGCCCCAGGTGAGCCTGTGGCTGTTGGATCAACAATTAAGTGCATGCATTGCTCTGTGAATGGCACAGCTAGGAAGATGGTTTCTCTGCAGTTCAGAAGGCAGGACCCCTGGGCACCGTTCCTGTTAGCCAAGGGTCTGTTGGGTGTGGGAGGTGCCTCATGATCCTTGATCTGGGACCTGGAGAAGGCTCCTCTGCCCTTTCAGTTGTGTTGAGTTGGTCCCAGGTGGGACCCCGAAGTCCCTTCCAAGATGAGCGGGGGTCTGGCCTCTCCTGGGGCTAAGTAGTGTTCCCCCTCACCTACTCTGACCTTTGATTTCCCTCAGGGAAGGGCCTGGGGTGGAGGGTCATCTAGGGTCTTCTTGTGCTGTATCCAGAGAGGGAAAGGAAGGTGCGCAGGGACCAACCTGCCCCAGGCCCCTCCCCTCCAGCCTGCACCTGAAACCCAGATACTGACTGAAGAAGGGTCCTCACACTTGATCCCCCACCCCAGGGCCCAGGACCCTGTCCAGCGTCTCATGGCCCAGCGAGCAGCACCTACCCTCCCCCTGCTACTACCCACTGTGTTCAGGGGGCCTGGCCTCCCCCAGCAGCTCTGAGTCCCACCCCTACGCCAGCCTGGACAGCAGCAGGGCGCCCTCCCCACAGCCAGACCCCGGGCCCATCCGCTCCGACAGTCCCCCCAGCCCGGACCCTGCCCGCCCGCCGAGCCGCAGGAAGCTCTTCACTTTCTCCCGCCCCGTGCGAAGCCGGGATACTGACCGCTTCCTGGATGTGCTGAGTGAGCAGCTGGGCCCCCGGGTCACTGTCGTGGATGATTTCCTGAGCCCTGAGAATGATTATGAGGAGGTGAGCACATGCCAGCAGATGTGGAGGGCCAGGGGCCCAGGTGTGACATGGGGGTCTGGAAGGGGAACAGGGCTCCTGCAAGAGGCCTGTTGCCCTTGGTATCTGCCCCAGGCTACTCCTCTCCCTGCCCCAGTCCATCCTAGAATCTGTCCCAGGCTACCCCACTCCCTGGCTGAGCTATCCCACCCTTTGACTCAGCTGTAACACCGCTCACTCAAGGCTCCCCCATATTCCTTGTCTGAGGTTACCCCATTCCTTCTCCCAGACTACTTGTCAGGCCATCCTACCCACAGCCTCAGGCTATCCCACCAGACTAGCCTGTCCTTGTCCCCAGCTAGCCCACCCCCTGCCCCAGGCTATCCCACCCTCCCTCACCTTGCTCTGTGCCCGGCAGATGAGCTTCCACGATGACCAGGGAAGCTTTGTGACCAATGAACGGAGCAGCGCTAGTGAGTGCATCAGCAGCAGTGAGGAAGGCAGCTCCCTGACCTACTCCTCCATCTCCGACCACATCCCCCCACCCCCGCTCAGCCCCCCGCCTCCACCACCTCTGCCCTTCCATGACCCCAAGCCCAGCTCCCGCACCCCTGATGGTCCCCGGGGCCCTGCTCAGGTGCTGGCCAAGCCCCTCACCCAACTCAGCCACCCAGTCCCTCCACCGCCCCCGCCACCCCTGCCCCCACCGGTGCCCTGTGCACCCCCCATGCTGTCCCGGGGCCTGGGCCACCGCCGAAGTGAGACCAGCCACATGAGCGTCAAGCGCCTGCGGTGGGAGCAGGTGGAGAACTCGGAAGGCACCATCTGGGGTCAGGTAGGTGACCGGGGGCCTGGTAGTGCCCTGTACCAGGGGAGGCTGGCCTGGCCAGCAGCACTGAAGACAAGACGCCGTCCAGTTTCTAGCCCCTGGCATTTCCCTGCTTCCATTCCCCCAGCATCGGAAGCCCAGGGCAGCTCCGGTGAACTCACCCCCTGCAAAGGACCCCTCAAGACAGGGCCAGGCCTCTCAGCCACCTCCTTAAGCCCCCTTGGTTGGCTGCAGCCCCTTTGCAGTCCCTTGATCCCCCTGCTCCAGTGCAACTTGCTGTCTCCTGCATGGAGTGTTCCAGGTGTGTGTGCGTTATTGACCTCACGAGGAGGCGGCTCACCGCCTCATCACTTGGATGATTTAGCTTCTCCTGCAGTCTCTTCTGGTCCTCAGGTTTCTCCCAGGGCCTGATGAGGGCTCTCCCTCGGTAGCTCCCCAGGTGGCTTAGAGGATGGGGGGGCTGGGGGAAGGATGGCAGTCCAGCTGCCAGTGTTCCTCATCCCCCTGAACTCCCCCCCCCCGCCCCCCGCCCATTGCAGCTCGGGGAAGATTCTGACTATGACAAGTTGAGCGACATGGTGAAATATCTCGATTTGGAGCTCCACTTTGGCACCCAGAAACCTGCTAGTGAGTGGCCTTAGGGCCCTGGGGGAACCCTCATACCAGGCCTCTATGGAAGCCCACCTGCTGCCTTCTGTGGCACCCCAGGGCTTAGAGTCCCAGAGGTCTGCACTGACTGCCATTTACTTCCTGTGTCCCTGAGTTATTTAACCTCTCAGAGCTTCAGATTTCCCATCTGAAATTGGAGATAATCATAGTAGCTGGTATTTATTGCATGCTCACCAAATGCCAGATACCCCCGTTTCTAAATTAATCCTGTGACAATTCTACGAGGTAGGGACTGTGATTGCCCTAACTTCCTGATGAAGAGGCACAGAGAGGCTAGATAATTTGCTCAAAGTCACACAGCCAGAATAAGGGAGGAGGCATCCATATCTAGCCAACTAGATGTCCCTTCCAATCTCTCTGTCGTCCCCGCCCTTCTCTGGGTATCTCCCTAGAGTCGTTAGGTGGGGCCAGGCTGCCAGGGATACTGTGTGTGGAAGGTGGTTGCAGGATGGAAGAGAAAGGGCTTGTCCATCCAGGAAGGAACTGCAAGGTGGAGAGGTGGTTGGTTCACCTTCCTTGGGCAGCTCAACCCCAAGGGCCCAGGGGAGAGAGGATGGGGGAGAGGCACCCACCATGCATGCTGAGTATGTTACACAGGCCGGAGAGTCCCTGAGTGGGAGACTGAGGAAGGAGGGGACTGGGGACACCTGGAGCTGATTCAGTTAAGGCCATATCAGGGGTTGTCTGGGCTGTTAGGTGTGGCCACCCCCCTCTTGGGCCCTCCCACCAGCCTAGCCTCCTCTCATTAAACCATTTTCCCTTCCAGAGCCGGTGCCTGGGCCTGAGCCCTTCAGGAAGAAAGAGGTGGTGGAGATCCTGTCTCACAAGAAGGCCTACAACACCTGTGAGGGGTTGGGGAGTCCCAGGGGTTGTGGGGGACAGGAGGCGGCCCTCTCTCTGGGCCGCAGAGCTTTGGATCCACTTGTGTGGATGACACATTAGGTCTTGGGGGCCCGACACCGGCTGGGTGAAGGCGGCTTCTCGGGTCCTAGATCCCACCCAGGTGCAGCCTCCACCCTCTCGGGCCCCGTCCCTCCTTGGCCCCGCCCCCACGTGTGAGGGGCTCCCGGGTCCTGGCCGCGCCTCCAGCCGTCGCTTACTCTCCCTCTCGCGGTCTCCTCCCCCGTTTCCAGCTCCACTCCCACAGGCCCCACCCGTACCTAGGTGTGTCCCTTCGAGAACCTTGCCCTCACCTTTATTCGGCCGTGGGAAGGACCCTCTCCACCTCTGGGCCGGCTCCTGCCCCGCCCAGGTTCCTTGCCCCTCCCGGGCTCCACCCAGTCGCCCCGGGGAACTTCTGGGCCCCGCCCACCGTCCGCCTGGCCCCGCCCCCGGCTCACCCTCGCGGCCCCGCCCGCAGCCATCCTGCTGGCTCACCTGAAGCTGAGCCCCGCGGAGCTGCGGCAGGTGCTCATGAGCATGGAGCCCCGGCGCCTGGAGCCCGCGCACCTGGCGCAGCTGCTGCTCTTCGCGCCCGACGCCGACGAGGAGCAGCGCTACCAGGCTTTCCGCGAGGCGCCCGGCCGCCTCAGCGAGCCGGACCAGTTCGTCCTGCAGGTGCTGCGGCCGTCACGGCCGCCGGGGGTCAGGGGGTGCTGCCCAGCGGCCTCGGCCGCCTCCGTCAGGGCTCTCGTTGTGACCGGGGCTTCGTGGGTCCCGCTCCCCTACCGCCACTGCGTCGCGCCTCTGAGTCCCAGTGTTACACCTTTAACGGCCAGTTCCCACCTGGGGCCCAAGGTAGAGGGGATTGAGCTTATTTTTTGTGCTTATGTTGGGGTTGTGCTTATTTTTCTTGAGGGAATGTCCGGCAGCCAGCTGAGCCCCACCCCAGGCTGCGGTGGGGCGGTGGGTCCCCTGGTGGGGGCGGGTGAATCCTGGCCTTGCCTTGGTGACAGATGCTATCGGTTCCCGAATACAAAACCCGCTTGCGCAGCCTCCACTTCCAAGCCACCCTACAAGAGAAGACAGAGGAGATCCGGGGCAGCCTGGAGTGCTTGCGCCAGGCATCCCTTGAGCTCAAGAACAGCCGGAAGCTCGCCAAGATCCTGGAGGTCAGGGTGCACCCCCTCTCTGGTCACCCCACCTGCCTGTCTGCCCCCCGGGGCTTCCAGTCTGGAGACCCATCCTGAGAGTGGTTCCAGGGGGTGGGGTGAGGACCTGGGCAGGAACTGTCCATCTTCCTTTCCACAGTTTGTGTTGGCCATGGGCAACTATCTCAACGATGGACAGCCCAAAACCAACAAGACCACAGGCTTCAAGATCAACTTCCTGACAGAGGTGAGAGGACCAGTTGGCAGTAATCGATGAGCTTGCTCTACCGTCAAGGCTGGGAAGGCCAGGCCCAACCCAAGTTGTGGCAGAGGAGAGGAGAGAATATCAGGACCACGGAGGGCCCCTCCCCCAGGAGGAAAAGCTGGCTGCCCGAAGGCCAGGATGTAACTGCTGTAAAGGTTGGGGTGGGGGCTTTTCCAAGCCAAGCCTCAGGATCTGGAAAAAGGGAGTGTGGGGGGGCAGGGAGAGAAGATTCCAGGAAGAAGGAGGGAATCCCACCTGGTAGGTTCTGTGCCCTTAATACCACCACCACTGCCAAGCTGTCCTACCCCCCAAAAAATCTAGGATCTGAAAAAGGAGAGCATGAATATCCAGCCTTCCCGCTCTTTCTGGGACCTTTCCCCAGGGTACCTTTCGTTGTTTTAAAAAGAGAGGAAGAAAGATTCCATTTGTAGATATGAATGTTTTAGGATGTCTGAGGCACAGATGGGCCACAGATGGTTCCCGAAAACCACAAGAGCAAAGATATGTGAGTGGTGCTCCCCCAGAGGTCAGAAAATCTTGGACTATATCTGCCAACAAGGGCATGCTCCCAAGCACAGGACACCTGGTGACCTCCTCTAGCTGGTGGCTATGGGCTGGTTCCTGGGTGGGAGCAGGGGGCAGTGTCTCAAAGATCTGGGCCAGGGAACCTCCAAATGCCTTGGGGAGGCCTTTGGGCATCCCAGCAGAGCTTCACAGTGAGGAATATTAGCAACTTTGGAGTTGGTGAGTGTCAAGGGCCAGGAATTGCCGCCACAGTCCAGGAGAAGTGGGGCCAAGAGTACCCAGACCCATGTGATCAGGAATCTGATGGGGTCCTTGAAGAGGATGTATGTTGGGCATCACTTGCAGCTCAACTCCACCAAGACTGTGGATGGGAAGTCCACATTCCTGCACATCCTTGCCAAATCACTGAGCCAGCACTTTCCAGAACTCCTGGGCTTTGCTCAGGACCTGCCCACTGTGCCCCTGGCTGCCAAAGGTAGGCTGAGTGGATGGGCAGTGGGCGTGGAAGCAGAGGCGTTGCTGTCCTGGGCTGGGAGGTCAGTGCTCATGCGGCTCTGTTCCCTTCCCTACAGTCAACCAACGGGCCCTGACCAGTGACCTGGCTGACCTCCATGGCACCATCAGTGAGATACAGGCTGCTTGCCAGAGCATGTCCCCCTCCAGTGAGGACAAGTTTGCTGTGGTCATGACGGTATCCAGTGAGCAGCCTGTCCGAACACCAGGGTGGACCCTGGGGTAGCCAAGTAGAACTAGCTGTCACTCCAGCAGCCACCGCAGACCCTGTGTCCCGGCAGAGATTCTGGGCAGAGGCTGCTGTGGGTGGGCCCGGGGGTCCCGGCAGAGGGTCCATCCTGGTGATTTAGAAGCCAAGCACTTACACCAAGTCTGTGTAACTAAGAGGAGCTTTTTTGACTGTCCAAAAGCCGCTGCCTTGCCCCATCTGTCCTCGTGGGCAGGAGAGCCCAGGTTTAGGTCACAAGATAGAGGGAGTGACCTGCCAGGCCTTGGCCAGCCAAAGGCAGTCAGGAGAGGGGCACGTTGCCACTGAGCACAGTTAGGGACGAAGGCTACAGGGAAAAAAAAAAAAAGGAGAGATCGAAGTCAAGAGAGTGCCAGGGGGCCACTGTAAGTGGGTGTTGGAGGAGGGGGTCATGGCATCTGAGAAGAGCCCAGGGTGGGGAGAGGGCTGCCCTACAGAGAAGGCAAGCGGATGGCCTTGGGGCTGCGCTGGATGCGTCAGGCTCCGGGAGCAACTGAGAGGGCAGTGTGCCACTGGAGCCCCTGGACACAGCCCAGTTCCTGGCTGAGCACAGGGCACAGGGCAGGCGGGAGCCGGGCAGCTAGGGAACCTGAGGGTACCTGGCGGTTTCCTTAACGGAGGCTGATCAGTCCTTCCTAGAGACGGCCCAGCCGGTGCTGCGGGCCCTGGACGGGCTGCAGCGCGAGGCCATGGAGGAGCTGGGCAGGGCGCTGGCCTTTTTCGGCGAGGACTCCAAAGCCACCACCTCCGAGGCCTTCTTTGGCATCTTCGCAGAGTTCATGAGCAAGTTCGAGGTGAGCCATGATGGAAGGCCATGATGGAAGGTCTCTTAGAAGTCCCTCCAGAGGTCAAATGCAGGGGCCTCCATGAAGCCTAGATCGGGAAACGGGCTCCAGCAAGTGTGATGTGACCCCCACGGGCCAACAGGTCTCTTCCCTGGCTCTCTGGGGAGTGGGGGGAGGAGATGAGGCAGGGCAGGGATCAGGGGCTCCTGGGACCACTGACCATCCCCTCCCATGTGCCCCTTCCTCCCCAGCGAGCACTCAGTGACCTGGAGGCTGGGGATGGCCCACGCAGCTCAGGGATGGTTTCACCCCTGGCCTGGTGACCTGCGGAGCCCGTCCTGCCTGAGGCCTGTCCCAGTGGCCTGGAGCAGCCCAGAGCGGCCTGGGTGTGGGAGATGGGGCCCGGCCTCCCCGTGTCTCCAGCTACCTCAGCCATCAGGCTCTGGGCAGTGGGAAAGTGCAGGGTCCGCCGGCTTCCCCTCTGTGGGCCTTGGCACCCACCGGGGGCATGGGGCAGAGAGAGGCGCCAACTCCCCGGGGAATGTGAACCTTGGCTGCCCACCGGCGTGCTCCCACTGGGAGGCCTGGCTTTGCCCCGCCTCACTCTGGGCCTTGGAGCAGGTGCTGGCTGTGCACACCCTCCAGACTCTGGTCTGGTCCCAGGGAGGGGTGGCGGGGCTGCGACCCACCAGGGGACTGTGGGACGGCCCCCGCCCTGGGGCAGCGTCTGCTGTCTGCCCCACTGAGCTTGGCCAGAGCCCGCTCTGCCCCAAGCAAGGACATCCGAATCTCCTTTTGGAGCCTGCTTCCAGTGGGCTGGAGGGACACCCTTGCAGAACACGCACTCTGGAGCCTAGAGAAGGTGACAGACGCCCTGGAACATGCCATGCCAGTGGGCACAATAGGCCTTGAGGTCTCCCACCCAGCCCTGGCCTCCTGGGGCTGCTTGGAAGAAAGCGGGAGAAAGGACAGCCTCAGGTGCAGGGACCTGGGGGCCTGTGCACCTAGCCTGGGTCTTAGAAGCTGGAAGAAACCGCAGTTGGCTGCAGCCCAGAAGCAGGGCCGGCAGGACAAGTGCCGGGCAGGGATACAGGGGAGGACTGGATTGGGAAGACACGCTATGTCAGACTGGAGAATTGAGGGTTTTTATCCAGCAGACAAATTTAAGTCCAGTTTGGGGAGCCTGAGAATGGGATGGCGTGGGCAAGGTAGGGGCAGAGAGAACGGGAAGATGTTCAGGTGCTCGGTGAGTAGGACTTGGGCGCTGGTTGCCTGGCTGGGTTGTGGTGATGTTCCCTGGAATGGGTCACATGAGCAGAGCAGGTGTTGGACTGGATGACACAGTGGGACATGGCTGGGATCCCAGAGGCTGTTTCACACGTGTATCTGGAGGCCCTGGTGAGTTCGGGGGGTAAAGGAGACAGGGAGCAGGGGTCCTGTGGGCGGGGAGGATGGGTTAATTTCCTCCATCCTTCCCATGCTCCCTTTGGCAGTTTCGGGCATCAGGTAGATTCCTGTTGCCTCTTTCCTTAACTTTCTTCCAGAGAAGTCCGAAACGGGCTTTAAACTTGTCTCTTGGATTCTTTTTCTCTCCCTACATTCAAATGTCTAATGCTGCTCTTGGACAGTATTTGGGACCCGTTCAGTTCTTTTTTCAGTCTCCCACAGACTGCTCTTTGAGACCATGTATGTTCTTTCCTTGTGAGTGGGGAACTCACAGCCACCCTGTAAACCTGGGGCACCGGGGAGGGGGCTTAGTGGGTGAAATATCTGACTCTTGATTTCAGCTCAGGTCATGATCTCAGGGCCGTGAGATCGGATCCCATGTCAGGCTCCATGCTGGGTGTGGAGCCTGCTTAAGATTCTCTCTCTCCCTCTCCCTCCGTCCCTCCCCACCCTCGCTAGGCAGCTTTACTAGTCATGCAGGTCTCTCTCCCATGTCTGGGGCCTTGGCTGGGACAGCTGGGATGACTTCATGTGGCCTCTCATCCCCAGCCAAATAGCCAGGATGGTTCCCATGGTGGAGGCAGGGGTCCAAGAGAACCAAAGTCACAGAAAACTCCTTGAGGTCTAAGGTCAGACCTCAGACCTGGCACACCCACCATTCCACCACAGTCTCCTGTCAAGTGACAAGGCCAGCCCAGATTCTAGGGGAGGGCTAATAGGCTCCACTCTTGATGAAAGACGATGCCAAGTCACATGGCAGGGGGTGTGGATTCAGGAGAATCGGGGCCATTTTCGCATCCGTCTACCACCTGCCTGCTTGGCCAGACATCCCGGTACAGATCCCAGCCTCTAAATCCTCAGTGGTCTCGGTCCTGCCAGCTCAGCTCTGGTTAGCCATCTCACAATTCCTCCTGGTGGCATGCTTCTTCCTCTCTCTTACCTAGTCACCCATTACCTGTCTCCTGACTCTACTCCATCCGGTGGACAGCAACGCTCTGCACCTGCCTAGGCTGATTAGTCTCCCTTCTGCTGGGGAAAGCACCCTGGTTTTCTTTTCTTTTTTTTTTTTAAAGATTTTATTTATTCATAAGAGACAGAGAGAGAGAGAGGCAGAGGGAGAAGCAGGCTCCCCGCTGAGCAGGGAGCCCGATGTGGGACTTGATCCCAGGACCCTGGGATCATGACCTGAGCCGAAGGCAGACGCTTAACCATCTGAGCCACCCAGGCGCCCAGCACCCTGGATTTCATTTGGGAAATTATCCCTCCCCCACTCACAGGCCCTGAGCAGTGCTGATGGGACAAGGATGGTCTCGTGACTCTGGCTGGGTGTCTCAGAGTCCAGTTAAGACTCAAGGTAGCACTGTTTGGAAAGGGAGGCTCCCTCTCTTCTGGATAAATCGTTGGATGGATAGAGGGTGGAACCCTGGATGGGGCCGCGAGGACCACTATGTGGAGGACACTTGCCTGGGTATAAAGCCAATACAGGGAAGAAGAGGAGAGAAGACCACTCCATACATCTCTCTGTCCCTGAGTCCAACTATGCCTGAAGCAGACTTCCGGACTTGTCAGTCTCTGAGCCAATACATTTCGCCTCCATTTGTAAACTTTTAAAATTTATTTTAGTTTTTTGGGTTAGGCTGGTTTGAATGGGTTTCTGTCACTTGCAACACTAAGAGGGTTGGCTGAGAACACCCACAGATGGTTATGGATGTTCACTCTTTTCACATCCTCAATGAGCGCTCTTCATAATTGCATTGGCCAGTACTTTTTGACTGCCTACTATGTGCCAGGCATCATACCGAGTACAAACACCTTGTGGGTCAGCCTCTCTGAGTTTGGTTTTCTAGGGTTCTACATCATGGTGATTCTATACCCGAGTCGGTACAAAGCCCCATATGCGCGCCATGGCCCCCCAGCAACTCCTCACCAAGTGACAAGCTGTGAATGCAAACATTTATGCCCCAGGCATAATTTACTTATTTCTCAATAATACTACCCAAATAACATAGCCTAATTACATGCCGCCTTTCCTAATCACACATGTTTACTAGGTAGTGTGCCCAACATTCTACATATTTTGGCTCATTTCACGTTCACAATCACCCTCTGAGATGGGTTTTGTCCTCTCATTTCTTCAAATAAAAAGTGAAACTCAGGAAGGTTTGTGACTTTCTGCATCAAAAACTCAGCCCTATATGAAAGCCCATCCTCTGTGTGGAAATGTCTTCTTTGTGTTGCTCAACACAATTTTACAAATACATATATATTTGTAATCTCGACCTGCTATCTCCCTGACAGGAAGCCATGGGGCATGCTTGTTGTTCTTATCTTAACTGACCTTTATTGAAGCAACACCGGGCACTGTTTGCCCTCCCTTGGCAAATTCTCACAAACCTAGGCTCGGGCTACCAGGTGTCGAGGTGCACCAACTACCCTGTCATCAGCTTGATTTCCCACTGGCCTGGCTGCTTCTAGCCTTTGCACACAGCGAGCGCTCAATCATTGCCCATTAAATCAAACCGCAATCACATCCAGATACAGGGCTCCCAAACTGCTCAGGAAAATGACCACCTTCCTCCTGTAAGATGGTTTGGCTGCATGTATCGGAAGCTCTAAGACAAGGGTTGCAAAGGAAAAGTCCACAGAGCAAACACAAGCAAACAAGGCAAACACAAGAAGTGGGCAGGTGCAAGAAAACGACACAAGACCAGGGACGGAGGGTAGTTGACATGGAGGGACAGGAGAGAGCATGGGGGCGCCGGGGAGCAAATGCCCTGTCTGCAGGGGGAATCAGCCCATGGACTTCCTTGTGGGGAGGCACACTGTATGATGCCGGATCTTCAGGCTTTCTCAAAGGAAGCTAGAAATCCGGATTTTTTTATTTACAATGTCCTGGTGAAATGTTGGCAGCCAGTGCAAAACTGTAAGGAAGAGTATCAATTATGAGCCAAAGAAAACATGTGAGCCAGATAGAGCCCAGCTGTGAGTGCACAACCCCTGAAATAGAGCATCCGCACCAGTTGGCACATTCACACTGCCCTGGGGTATAGTGGGGGTACCCCATAACAAAGGACTTGATTCGTTTTTCAGTTTTAACAAGGGAACTGTGTTTGAGGCTAGTTGGTAGTTCCAGTTTCTGGATGATAAGATGCTGATTACCTTGTTTTGAAGATGCCCTTTGTTTGAGGAAATGCACCCAGTGCGTCCTTCATTCACAGGAAGGCGAGACCCGCACAGTGTTCTGGGGGGGGAAACCCGTGAGCTACCACGAAACCAAATGCTGGTTCCACAGACCAAGATGTCAAGAATCTGTTTAGTTGTGCAAATTAGCTATCTCTTTACCTTGACAGTGTCTTTAAAGGAAAGGGAAAGTGTTTTCTCTAAAGAGAGTTTGACTGGATTCTTAAAGTCACCAGCATTGAATAAACACAGTGATTGTGTGTTCTTAGACAATGTAGGGACAGTGTGGGGGTTTCCACAGAAGGAAATGGATGCTTGGCTTGTTGGGCATCCATGGGCAGGAAGGACTGTAGGATGCAGAAGGGGAGAGCCCACTGGGGTGGAGCTGGGGACCCCCCAGTAGCAAGAGGTGAGTTGGGTCCTGCCTCATGAGAGCTACAGGGACAGAAGCCCTGCCTCCCCCACTGGGTGCTGGGTGGACACCCCGGGGGCGGGCCTTAGTTGCATTGGCAGAACTTAAATGTGTTAGGAGGGAATTGGTTCAGGGATACAAACGGTGGGCAGAAATGGCGGAACCGGGCCAAGGTTCAGGCGGCCACCACAACATGTGGCACATGGCCCCATCCCTAAAGAATCCCCCAGAAGCTCTTTGAGGAGGGAGAACCCAAGGGAAAGATCAGAACTCCCACCAGTTCTAGCCAGAGCAATCTTAGAAGCATTGTGCTTTGAGCAGTTAAAAACCCCCATGGCGTCATCGTATCCCCCAGTCTGGGTGAAATGGGTGGTGATATCCATCCTAGGAAATTCACCGCACAGAAACAGTCAGGAATGCAAATAGACATCGAGGCACCCAGTTGTCCGTTTGTATGTGGAGTTGATCTGAAGCAACAAGGATGTCCAAAAACAAAGGATTTGTGAAAGTATACATAACAGTCATATGTTGGAATGGAACATAGCAATTAAAATGTGGAAGAGGTGTTAAGTCATGGGAGAATGCTTATGATATAATAAGTGAAAAAGAAAAATATAAAATTGGATGTAACAAGACGACCTTGGCTGAAATGAGTTTTTTGAAGCCAGGATAAGGGGAGGAGGAGAAGGAGCTGCGCTGGCCGGGGTAACCCGTTTGGTCTGGCTTGTCCATGTCTGCTGCACAGCCAGCCACTCAGAACTGAGTACTGTGGACACTGGGGGGGGGGGTGCCCTAATGCTAACTTCCATGTGATCGCCTTTCTGGGATATGGGTTTTCTTCTGATGGAAATATAAATCGTACCATCAGTCATCCTCAAAAAGGTGAATCTCGGGGCCTGAAATGAATCAGAGCATGCTTTAGACTGGGCTGAAGATGACCATTCTTTCTGGCTTGACTTCTGAGGCCAGAAGATGACTGGAATGTTTTTACAGGAGCCAGAGAGCCTGCCCTTGACCCATGGAGTGTGGTGGGCGGCTCTCTTGGTTGTCTGTGCAGACCCCACCCAATGCCCCTCCTCCCAATAAACCCAATGGGCCCTTGGAGGCCATTTCCCACAGTATGTCTTTGCCCACTTGGCCAGTGTGTCGGACTTTGAGTGGACTCCTGGCCTAAGCTGAGCCATTCAGAACCCGTCCCAAGAAGATCTGAAATAAATATCTAGAGATTTCAGGCTCATTACGGCTGCTCTCTGGAACAGAAGAGATGTAAACTTGCCAACATGGGCTAGAGGAGCATAGACCAGTCTGCAGAGAAAGAAGAGCAAGGTGCATGCACTCAATCTGTTTTGCCATTTTTAAGTGTTCTTGGCCATTTCATCTAATCCATGAGAAATTATCCTCAGATTGTCAGGGGTTTTTAAGCAATCATTAATTTATTTTTTAAAAGATTTCATTTATTTATTTGAGAGAGAGAGAGAGAGCATGAGCCAGGGGAGGGCAGAGAAGCAGACTCCCCACTGAGCAGGGAGCCCGACACGGCACTCGATCCCAAGACTCCAGGATCATGACCTGAGCTGAAGGCAGACGCTTAACTGACTGAGCCACCCAGGTGCCCAGCAATCATTAATTTAATCCTCACTGGAGAAGGAATCTGCAGAAAGTTCTTGTCTCCAAATAATTTCATATTATTCAAAAGTATATGTATGTGTGTGTACGTGCGTTGAGGCACATGTGTATGTATATGTATATACACACATAGAAAATAATTCATCATTCTTCTGAAGACATGATGGACTCAGATACATAATATGCAGAAATAAATCTCAGGCATAACCTCATTTGCATTCAGAGATTTGCATTTTCACAGCAAACTTGCATGCAAAAAGAGAAATGAGAAGAGACAATGAAGTACAATTTTATATCATTACATTATGTAGCAAACTGAAATGTGTGCACAAGGTTTTGATGATGCTTATACTTAAGCCTGAAACTATCTCCTAAGCTCTACAGAAGAGTCGAAAGAAATTATAAATCTCTTAAGTGTTATTGTCAGTATGAGCCGAAGTGCTACAATTTTTTACCAAAAAAAAAGTTCACAAAGCTGACTTTATACCAAAAAAGGCACACACACTATATCCCAAATGGAAGGAGAGATGAACAGAGGACGGCTTTTTCAAAGTATTTGGATACTTTCAGTGCTTAACTTTGTATTGCCCTGACAGGAGGCTGTTTTATCTGGCTGTGGCTAGAAATGAAAAGTGGTTGTGTGCTTGCTCTGAATCTTTTTCACTTACAAAAAACAAACAAACCAAAAAGGAATAGGTGATAGGACCCCAGGCCCATTGCTGAAATATACAGGTGTATGCAATATATAAATATTTATACAATTGGCGGACGCCTGGGTGGCTCAGTTGGTTAAGCGACTGCCTTCAGCTCA